GGGGGGGGGGGGGGGGGGGGGAATCACCGGTGGCAGTCGCGATCGCGTCCGCGTTGAGTGTCGGACGTGTGGTCCAGCTGCTGCGTACAGTGTCCGGGGGAAGTGAGACCGCGATACTCGTCGTCGCCGTACCGCGCGGCCCGCTCGCCTCGCACCCTCGTCGCGCTCGCCAGGAGAGTCCCCGGGAAGCGGCCCCGTGGACGGCGAGACACGACACGACCATCCGGACGGATCGCGCCCTCTCACCCCGGCACGCGGCTAAGCACCGGCTAAGATTTTTCGCTCACTACCGAACTATGCGTGGTGCGAGATGGTGTGTTCTCTGACCAGCGGCAAGGCCTGCGCCGACAGCGGAGACCCGTGCCCGGACCCGCCATCGCGCTCCACGCCGGAGACTGGACTCGAGATCGCCGAGAACATGTCGTCGTCGCTCAGCGACGCGCACCGACGCAACAACAACCACCTGGAGGGCGACCGCAGCTCGTCCGCGGGCTCCTCCCTGGGCTCGTGCTCGCCGCCGCCCGCCACGAGCCACTCGCCGCCACCGCCGCGGCCGCCCTGGCTGCACGACTTCCACGCGGCGGCCGCGCCCCATGTCCTGCAGTTCCTCAATCTGAGTGCCGCCGGCGGGGGCATGCTCGGCAGCCAGCCGTTGGCAGCGCTGCACTCCATGGCAGAGCGGAGTCATCAGCAGCAACAGCAGCAGCAGCACCAACACCAGCAGCAGCAACCGCCGCCGCATCAGCAGCATCATCCGTCGCACCAGCAGCAACAGGGCATCCAGCTGCCGCGCATCACCGTGCCGCTCTCGACCATCACGCAGGGCCAATCGTCGCCCACCGGCAGCGGCAAACACAGCCCGGCCACCTCCATCACCTCCGTCGGCAGCAACCCCCACGGAATCGACACGATACTCTCGAGACCGGCGGCCGCCCACCCCCAGGCACCGGTACCGCCGTCGCACGCGGCCCTACCGCCGACCCCGCATCCCCAGCACATGGCGGCGCCGCGATACGCCATGCACGCCGGTTTCACCGCGTCCTCGGGTGCGTAAGACGAGTCCTCGACAGGTAACCCGCGCGAACCCGCCGGATCCAGGTTCGATCGTCCGTCGGGGTGATGTCACGAGCGAGCTGACTCCGAGGAGTGGTTGTTTTGTCGTGTTGGGTGAAGATCTGTTCCAGAGGGTCGATTCCCCGCACGGAATTCGCTCGCACTTCTTTAATATCCCGTCGGAGATCGAAGTATTGAGCATTGTGTTTCTTGTGGAGCTTCCCTGGGAAAACCTATTGCGGAATACTGATTTGAAAGGCCGTGAGGAGCGAAGCACGGGTGGTCTGGTGTGATTTGAAATATCAATACTGTCAGTATGAACATCGATTGTGGGAGGACGAAATTTTCCGTCGTGTGTACCGCAAACGTACGAGAGACGAACGCAGAGACGGTTTTTTTCCACGAATGATCCTTGAATTCCGCACTGAAAATCCCGTTTGGCCGAGTCGAAATTCAAAATTCCTTCGCTCTGAAACGAAAAGGGTTTCGTTTCGGAGAACTAAACCTTTGACCCGGCGGGACAAATTTCGTATCTCACAACCGAAACATTCGCTCCCCGCGGCCTTTCTAATTCTTCCCTCGGTACCACCAATAAAGAGCAGTCTTCGTTTCATTTATCACTGTTTGGAAAAATGTCCGATCGCGCAGAATCCTTCAGTTAATCCCTAGATTTCTACAGTACTTCTTCGGGAATAACCGAACGCGATTTCGTTCGGGAACCTCTCCGAGCAGTTTCATAACGCCCCGGCGGATCATTCGAGAGTCACAAGCGCGATTTTCCCTTCGCGAGAAATCACGTGTACACGAGCGAGGTGGAACCGCGGTGGAAAGATTGCTAGAGAATACTCTTGGCGCGTAACGCGCGCGGCGTCGGCAGATTAACGTCATGAGTTATTATTGATGCCGGCGGATATTAGTAACATCTGTAACGGTAACAATTCGCCATCGGCGTTTATGCAATAGAAAATCGCNGGGGGGGGGGGGGGACCGGCTCGCTCCGCGCGCGCAAATCGTCGCGTGCTGCGATAGCGCGCGTGTAATGCGGGACGGATTGGACGCATTAATCGCAGAATTACCAAGGGCGGTCGATCGCACCCACCGCCGGACGAAAGCGGCGACTAGGAGCTACGAATCTATTACGAAACTATCTGTGCATTCGATACGATCGGCCGACGTATAATTCACGGATTTACATAGTAGCCGGAGTCTGATTTTCCGCTTTGATTCGCGCGAATCACTATCGCCTGTTTTAACCCCCGTCCCACGCAGCAACGTTACGGCCGCGCGAATCGTGATTTATTATCAGCGAGATAACTAAAACTTGGAGAAATCGCCGGTGCGAGTAACAATTGTGCACTGAGAGAAATTACAGCTGCTTTCGGCCCCAACTTTCCCCTTTCTAGTCCGGTTATCTACGATGTAGCTGTGCCTTTTGCTCTGAACGCTAAATTGTCATTTCTACCGAAGAGCGTTTTCAGCGATGCCGAACGTTTCGATTTTCGCACGAAAGCGAGAAAGAGACGGCCGACTGGTCCCGGGGAGAACGAGAGATTTTCGATTCTGGCTTTGCTGTATTTTCATTTGAGCGATTAGTGTGGAACACGGTGGAAGAACAGAAAAGCTAAAATATTTACTTAATCCAAATGAAGTAAACTACTTCAATACTCCTTAGTAAATACTTACTCGCACGTAGCAATTTTCTTTCTCAATCCATCACTGACACTACAGCAACATTTACACACATTATACAGAAAGATGGTTCTCGTGAATATAATTCTCTCGCCGTACGATGATTGTACAATTGAACAAACGTCAAACATTTGTCTCTCAGTGTCGGAACACACGCACATGTAGGGAGAAAGAACTGCGAACGAATTGTAAATATTATCAGCGACGGGGGATGAAAAGATTCGCGGGGATACGGTTGCTGGAACGAGCCCGGGGTGTGTAAGAGCAATCTCGAGAATTCGGCGCCTCGGGACGAGCCGCAGCGGGGTAGGCTGAGAGACACGCGCGATTAAAAGTTTACGACGGCGGTGCTCGCCCGTCGCCGACGCGCGTACGCGCTCGTACGTGCGCGCGCGCGCGAGCTTTCGACTCACTTTTACAACCTGCCGCCTTCCGCACGGTATTTTGTTGCTGACGGTTCCCGCGTCTCATCAAGATCTCGTTTGCGATCTCGCGAATGCATAACTTTTCCGCCGAGTGGCGCGCCGCCACAAAGCAGAATGCGTTCGTCATCGTCTTCAAAGCTTGCGTGGAATATGTCACGTTTAAGAGCGCTTCCCGTCGCGCGACGATTGACTTCATGCACCGTCGTACGTCAGGCTGAATACAGAAATATGATGCGGACGGCGCCGCTAATGAATTCCCTGACGCTGAATTACCGGGTAACAGCCTTCGACTGTGCAAAAATGTGTCATTAACACGCGTCTTAATAACTCGCCCGTAATCGATCGTATCCGTAAGACGCGATCGTTCGGCAGCCACGCCGTGTGTTTGGTCGCGAATTAACGCTGATTGAAACGTAAATTAACGTAATCGTCGGTCTCTCGCGTCTCCGTGTATCACTTTCGGTCACTTACGAAGACGTCTGTACCTTAGAAACAGGATTATGAATATTTAAGGGCTCCATTTCGGAAATCCCACGCCTCTTTGCGCGTGACTTTGCAATCTCCGTCTCGTTTTATCGGGAGAACGTATCTCTCTCTCTCTCCCTCGGACATCAATTTTAGAATTATCGAGACGGTGAGAAGGGAGGGGGATAGTCGAGAGACGGAGGGGAGATAGGGTCGTATTATGAAGTTGTTCACACAAATTGTATGTCCGTACAATATCGCGCTCATATCGAAGACTCGGCTTTAATTCATGCCGGTATCACCGCACCCGTAATCTATAATCCGTTCGAATAACTTTTCTTCTATCTGAATGGGGCGCTACCTAAATATTGTCAATGAAAATATGTCGGACCCGGCGCGTACTGTTCGGTGTATCGCCATTATGTCACAAAAGCTCTCGAAGCGATAATATTAACGTAGATGAAGCACACTGGCTTTCAAAACTGTTCGAACACTTCTTCCTCGACGCAGTTTGGAACGCAGCCGATGGGAGAGACGGTCCAATAAGGGAATTTATCTTTCGAAAACGAGTTCTCCCGTTGGACCACCGTTCGCGTTCCAAGCTGCATCGAAGAAAAAAAAAGTGATTTCAATCCCCTTCTTATCTATTCAGCCTTATTAGGCACTTTATTCAATGATGATTTCCATGCTGACGATTTGTGCGAGACTCGTTCGCAATATCGATTGGCACTTCCTCGTCATCGTTCGACCAAATGTCGCTTTCTCTTACACAATGCAGTTAAATATTATAACCTTCTCCCGCCTGATATTCACTCAGTGCCTTCCCTTCATACTTTTCCTTCTGCCGCGAGTAGGTTGTCTCGTAGTTCATTCTCTCACGCGAAATAATTGAATCTATAAAATAATTTTTATACAAGATAATGCAATAAAAAGAACTTGCAATCGAGCGACTGAGCGAGTTACGACGTTGCGTTCTCACGTGCCGCGGTCGATTAAACGTCGTCGTCGTCGTCGCTTCATTGCCGGTCGATACATTCTAATCGCACGACGAGCGGCTAAAAACTCGCGAAACGAGAACGGGCAATTAGGCGATCCAATGAACGTGGCGCGACGTGGCCTTGATCGAAATATTGACCGGAAACGCGGAACCGGCGCGGGGAAATGGCGGCTGTAAAATTTATGCTTACCGAATTACCTGCTTCCCCCTCGGTACATTAACGGGCGACGCAAACGAGGGACGTTACTTAACATTCATAGCGTTAAATTTCTAAATGATTCGCTCCCGACCGAGCGCGGTTGCGCTTCGCGATAACGAATCGCTAAGCAGAGCGCGCTAATATTCGCGATTCATACATCGAGATGCACCTGTCGAGTTCGCGCGATAAATCGCGCGATAATACGCGACACTTTCGCGCACGTAATGACACGACCGGACGGTGACAATGCAACGAGCCTTCGAAATTATCTAACGATCGCGCGACGAAGCGAGAGAACAAAGTGAGAGAGAATAAGTTAGAGAGAGAGAGAGAGAGAGGGGAGGGGAACGATCATTTTATGGCGCACTCCTGCAAGCACCTATTTGCACCTATTTGCAATGGAACGCGGATTACTTGATAGCCAAATAGGGCGGCCATATACGGGCGCAAGTTAGGATATTGCGGGTTAACCAACTGACGACCATTCTCGTCGCGCGCGCGGCTTGGTGGCGAATTCGGATTTGCGCGAGCGGACGCCGGAAACCGCTCTCTAGCGGTCGAACGCGCGCAAAAAGATCGCATTACGATAAACTATACGGTAAACGCCGGGCGGAACAATACGGCGACGATAAAAACTGACGCTAAAGGTATGCATATAAATTTAATGCCCCGCGCAAAAATAGCGCACGAAAAAGGAAAGAAATAATAGTGAATCGTCCTGTGCATGCGTGTGCGCGTGTGTGTGTGTCTATATACGACGCTACGCCGGCCACGCCGAAAACGGATCGTCGTAAATATTGTTCATTCCTGCATCCTTGTAAAAAACGAGAATCGTATCGGGACGCGACGCAGCGCGCGAGCAATTCAATTTTGAAAACGTCGCCGCAAAAATATCGCAGTTACGTTCTTGCGTCGTCCACTCGTGACGAATTACATCCGTCGGATTTTTGCGGCCTCGATGAAAACCATTTGGGCTTGTTACCCCGTCGCCACCCTCTCGCGATGTTCTCTTAAAATCGCCACTCGCCCGCCGAGTCGCGCCGGAGGATTCGATCGATCGATCGATCGGTCGGTCGGTCGATCGGGAGTCTCTGATTTTCGGGGGAAGGGAAGATCTTTCCTTCGATACATACATAGCTTCGGCTCCGTGAAGCCATGCGCCCAATCCTATTTTACGATAAATTGTTGATTATAATGGTTAATTAATTGATATATATA